CGTGGCTATGAGGACTTAGTAGCTAAATGGATAACGAAGTGAACGGTAGTGGGTTCGAGACCTGAAAAGAAGATCAAATCTGGAATGTAAGTACACTCAATTGAAGAGCCGTAAATAGGATGAGACGCATGTTATAGATTCCATTGTTAACTACTATCCATCTTTGCTTAGAACACTTGTGATTTAAGACAATATCGATTACATAATTTATTTGAAATGAGACCAGACTATTTTATCAATCTAGAATGGTTATGGTTAACTATTTTCATTACATTCAAAAGGAATAAATATCTGAAAATAAACTTTTTTAGACAAAGATTACGTAAAAAGTTTTTAGTAATTTCATGAAAATCAACTATTTTTTCTACATGGTCTATCATAATTAAGTTAATTTCCATTTAAACAAATCCACCATCCCGCACACGGCAATCTGACCCATGACCTTTAGTCTCGTGCGCGAAAGCTAAACGTTTAGACCTAATGGTGTTAATGTCTAACTTTAATCGATCCAGGATCTTGTACAACCCTTCATTCATTGTCTGAGGTAGATGACTGTTTCACACCTGACACAGATTCAACTCCACTGAACATGTTCTCCAATTAAAACTCTAGGGAATCAACCTTGAGGCTAGTCAGCATTAAGCACATGATTATTATCAGAATGGAGATTTTGTGGAGATTATAGTAAATTTAACAGCTGAATTATAGCTTTGATCGATTCATGAGTTTAACTGTTAAAATCTAACGATAGCCAGAATGTCTTTTTAGTTTGAGTCAGTTTGTAATTTAATGAAAAAAACTAGTTATCATCACTGTTGTTACCTACCAAAACTTTCAAAAAACTCATCTCTATCTTCTTAGAAAATTAATTGACTTCTTAAAAAAATGTTTTTACTGAGGAGTCCCATACTAGGACAAAACTATTAAATGAACTAATCTTCCAAGGTTTATTTTTAATTGGACAATTATTATCTGTATAGGGTTGTGGAGATTATTAAGTTATTGATTGAGATCATGAACTCATTGTATTACAATTAATTTAAACACAAATACTAAACAATATTTTCAATGGTGATCTAACACCAATCGATTCATGATCTCAATCAAAAACTTAATAATCTCCACAACCCCCATATTGATAATTACTATGTGCTCACTAGTGACTAGCTTTGAGAGGGAGTCCTCGGAGTTCTAGTGAGAAGTCGTGACCAGTGGAGCTAATCCGTGTCGGATACAGACAGCTATCTACCCCAATACAATAGAAGATGGTCACACAATTTTGTGGATTGGTTGAGGCTAGACATTAATACCTTTGGATGCCGACTAAATGGTCTCCAGGTTAAGCGTTCGCGTAAGAGACCAAAGGTCCTAGGTTCAATTGCTGTGTGCAAGATCGTGGATGTGCACAACTAAGGAGTCGTACACTGGGACAAAACGACCGTTTAGTGCTTGAAGGTTTTCAATGGTGATCTAACATCAATCAATTCATGATCTCAATCAAAAAATAATCATTATCTACTCATTTAATACAATTATAAAATTTATTTTAAAGGGATATTTAAAATGATGAAGAGGAAGGTCAGGTAGCTCAAGTGAATAATTTAGGTGAAGTTTTGTTTTCATAATATAAAACCTAATGGATATTTATAAATCAGTCATTTATTATTAAATGAATAAAAATGTCGATATATTTATTTCTTATTTTCTTTTCTTTTTTTGTTGTTTATTTTGTTCTCATCATTGTTTCGCTTATCACGATATTCAGAATGGAATGTTTTTCTCTATAAAAAACAAAATAATAAACTTTTTTTTCTTTCAATGAGTAAACAACAATAAACAAATCACTTTAACACTTTGGCATATGTTTCACTGTTTGATCGTTCGAGAGTAGTATTTTCTTTTCTTTTTTTTTTGAAAAAAAATATTTTTAAAAAAAAGTAAACATATTTTCCCTTGTTTGATTTGTCTCTCCACCCCTTTATCTCTTCCCCCTCCCTCTCTCTGTTTGTCACTGATTGAATAAAATTAATCGGAGACAAATTAAAAACGGGTACACATAGATATATTATTATTATTATAATTTTGTTAATGTGTCAACAGATTGATAAAGTGAATGTTAATCTCATTTTCATCTTTTGTTGAAATTGTGGGTTTATTCTATTGTTATTATTATTATTATTATTAATACTATTACTATTATGAGTACTGATTCTCTTGTCTATGGTTGTCATGTTTTAAAGATATTGGGGTTAATGACAAGATATGGCGCCAAAATCCTTATTTCGTTAAGTTAGATATGAATAGACTCACTACACACAAAAAAAAATAATAATAAGATATATTCATATAAGATACAGTTACAAAGTTCCCCTTTTTCTATTTATGTAAACGGTATATATAAGTAGATAGATTTAGTTAGTCAAAGTATAAGAATGAGTCAATAAATTTATTCCGGTATTTCAATTCTATTTACAGAAGAAAAACAAGTTTTTTTCTATCTTTGATGATTATTTTACATTCATTTTATTCAGCAACAACAACAAAAAAAAAAACAACGAGAAAAAGGGACTGAAAGGGGAGAAATTAAATCATCAACTATCCTATGACAATTTTTAACTATTGAACATATTCCTAGGATACGCATAGAAAGACATCGTTTTCCGGTTTTCTAAAAAAAGAAAGAGAAAAAAGACAAAAATAAAACGAAAAGAACTTATCATGTTCAGATATTCCTTTATGATTACTTTATAAGACCGATGTTTCATCAGAGAGAAAAAGAGAAAGAGAAGAAAGAATCAATATCAACTCATTCATGTCTATAAGAATTCATTGATAAATAAACATTCATTTCTTATATAGTAGAGTTTGGTTGAGTGCAATTAATTACATCACTATTAAATAAGTTGATTATATTCTGGATAATAACAGGTTATGTAGATTGTTGAATTGGTAGTTTTGTAGTGAATGAGAACATCAATGGGAATGATCGAAGATATTTGAACATAAACTTACAGAACATTTTAGTAAATTCAAAGAACCATACAGTGAGTAATTCATTTGGAAAATGTCACTCAATTGTCTCAAACTTCACTGTTTCTATCTTTCAAATTAATAATCTTGTTTTATCAACTTAGCTCTACTCACTATGTTCCTATCAATGTTTACTCACATTATGTAATCACTTGTTTCTAGCCGTTTGAACTGTTGTCACAATCAATGTTGTAGAATTTTCTTTTAAATAAGGTGTATATCTTCAATATTGAGTCTAGTAAATTTATTTACATCCTCACTATACTATACTAATGTGTCTTCAATATAAATCCCAACTAAACCCTTCCATTTAAGTAATTTAAACCCATGATGTAGTTATAATTTTAAATACCACAGATTGTAAGCAGCTGACAAGAACCTACAAAATAAGAATGAATTCGTGCTATTCTGCTACAATCATTGATCTTGATCTTTTCAAAATGATAAAGGGAACAATGTGTATAAAATATCAGTCAATCGTCTTAGAATTCATTGTTCTTTCGTTTCGATACTAAGCATTCTTTGTGCTTGTTCTTATTTCTTTGATCTTCTTAACCTTCTGCCTCCACACATTTCACTCTCGACTGATGATACATATTATTTATATCTATCGAAATCAGTAGCACACATCATAGTTTTATATCATAAAATAACTTCATTTATAAATTTGCTTAAAACCAAGAGTGTTTTGGTTGAACGTCTTACTCTAGGATTGGGTTCCTCAGGAGTACAATCCTAACAAAGTTGTGAATGTGAACTACTGAGAAATTAGTCCCATAACAAGAAGAAATTACCTGACCAGTATTTGTTGGTTTTTAACGGCTCTTTAACTATAGTCAGTTTGTGGTTAATTTAACAATTACGGTTCAAACTATCTAGTTTGTAAGTTCATCGATCACTCGGACATGATAAGAGTAACAAATAACTATAAGGATAATTTACATTACGTAATTAGATTATTCCAGGTAAATATAATTCCTTTGACAAATCATGGATAACAAATGAAACAATCTCTACAGTTATGTTTAAGGCTTATTACGTAAATGTGATATTAAATTTCTAATAATAATTGACAGTGCTTAACCTGGTTGGTGTTTTTTACTACGAGATAGGGTTGCCGACCTCATGTTCAAACCTCCTCCTTTAATTAGGCTTGAGACCAACAGTAACTTTATATGAACTATAGGCGGAGTTATACGTAAAGTGACAATTCGAACTTTTTTCTTCACTGAATAATCTACTGTGGTGGTCTAAGTTCAATTAACACATGATTTAAACCACTGAAATATCTAAAATCTCCACAAAACCCCTTCTGATAATAATCATCTGCTCACTAGTGACCGACTTCAAGAAGCATTTCCTGGAGCTCTTGTGAGAAGCCGTTACCAGTGGAGTTCAACCAGGTCTGTTGTGAGATAGTAACTCACTGATGACTATGATGTACGGTGGCACAATTTCGTGGATTAGTTGAAGTTAGACATTAACACCTTTGGATACCGGCTAGCTCAGTGGTCTAATGGTTAAGCGCTTACGTGCGAGACCGATAGGTCTTGTGTTCGAATCTCTTAAGTTGGGTTCGTGGATGAGCACTGCTGAGGAGTCATGTAATGGGAAGAATCAGTCGTCCAGTGCTTTCAGGTTTTCCATTGTGGTCTAGCTTCAATTGACTCATGATTTCGACTACTGAAATCTACTGTATCATAAAATACAGAATTAAACAATTCAACTGAGTTGTAGATAAATAAAATGTAATGATATCATTTGGGAATCTATGAACTATTTTACAACTTCATGAATATTAATATATAAACGGATATATACTTATGAAAGTAGATCATTTTAGTGATCGAGATCGAGATAGAAATAAGATTTCATGCAATGAATGAATTCCATTAGAACCTGAATTCTAATGAATACTTTTCTAGATTTACATTTTCTGTTTTGTTATTTTTCTTCATTATTTATTTAAGATTCAACGACCCATTTCAATGAAAAAAGATGGAATTCAAACACGTAATCGTAAAGTTTCACAAAAAACAAAAAAGCATAAATTTGGTTTCTATTCAGAATTATCTGATTTACCAGTGGATTATTTAATGAAAACACCTTTACATAGATTTGGTGCCGCAGCAGCAGCAGCAGCTGTTGCTGCTAATCATTTTGCATGTACTACACGTGGTTCACAAACAATTACACCGAATTCACCAAATTCAATGTGTAATCCATATTTAACTGGTTATTTCTCAGATAATAATATTAATAGTAACAATACTACTACTACTAATAATAATATTTTGAATGAAATAAAACATAAAGATATGTCAAGAATTGAAGTTGATAGTTCTGATGAAACTGGACAGTTTAATGATGTGACAAAAGCATTTCATGCTACATTTGGAGGTTTAACTAATAATAATAATAATAATAATAATGATAATAATAATAATGATAATAGACATTCCAATCATTTCTCTCTTAATTCACCTCATCCAACACAAATACACCCTCATCATATTGATCACTTACAACAACAATATATTCAGAAACATCAATCCCAACCAATGAATTCAATGAATTTCACAAATGATCCTTATACACAACATACATCTAATTTAATGAATAATCAAATGAATGAGAAATATTGTAGATATCAGAAATCTAATTATATTACTGAATTAGTTTATAATCATTCAACGAATAATGATCAGAATACTAGTAATAATACAAAATGTGAATCATTACATATGAAACCATCAAATATCGTTCATCATCATCATAATCATCATTCACCGACAGATGCATTAATACAATGGCATGCACAATTACGATCCACACCAAATCAATTGGATGGAAGTGGGTCGATAAATTTTAATTCTGCTTCACTATATAATAATTGTCAACCAATCACACGACTGGGATGTAATAATAATACTAATAATAACAATGGCATAGTCGGTGGTAGTTGTAATAGTAATAGTAGTAATAGCAGTAGTAGTAGTAGCAGTAGCGGTGCTAGTATCACACATTCCTATTATAATCAAAAGAATAAAATCGAATCTGATCCCATTGATAATAATAATAATAGTAATAATCGTAGTATTAATAATAATTTAATTGATTCTATAAATCATTCAACGATCATATCATCATCAACCTCATCATCAGAACGATCAATTCATGGTACAGATTTATTAAATCGTTATAAATTAAAACTTTGTACTGATTCATTAGATTCATCCATTTCACCTCATTCAAGAGGACCTATTGAAAATGGATTATATTTAAGTAATTATCATATAAATCAAACAATGGATACTATAAAACATCAACAACAAAATCAATCAAATCATTCTGATTTAAGAGTATTTCCATGAAAATTATATCCCTTGATTGATTGATTGATTGATTGGTTGGTTGTGAATTGTAGAATTATCCCTTATGTAATATGTTCATGCTCCCATATCGAATATACTACTATCCATATCAATGAATTGTATACTAATAATGAATGATAAATGAAATGATGTACATTTTAACTTATTTAGTAAGATCATCAATATTTTGCTCTTTCACTATCATCATCATCATCATCATCATCATTATGGATGATGATTATCATCAACATGATCTAAATATTAAAAAAACTGATCTTTAAATATGATCCTGTTACATAACTAATTTTTGTTTTTGTTTTCTTTCTTTCGTTCTTTCTACAAAATGAAATTTCATCATTCAATAAAATGACAATAGACTAAACTTTATATTCAATTAGAATTTTGAGCATATGAAAGAAGAAACAAAAATATTTGAATAATTCACATAGAAACAGGGCGGATTTTAAAAAAAACCAAAAAAAAACAACAACGTATAACTAGTATTTTGTTTATTATTTACAATAGAGAACTTTGTAGAGTGAGAAGATTGAAAAGAGAGAGGGATAGAGAGAGAGAGAGAGGGTGAATGAGTGATGGATATACAGAATAGATTACTTAATGACCACTAGTTTGCATTTCAATCCTTTATATATAGATATACATAAACATAGATCAATTTAATTGAGGTGTGTCTCTACCAAAACTAACTATTCAATTGATGATCTTTATAAGTGTAATCATTGTTTCCATTAAAATCCAATGGAATCAAAACAAAATTTATGGAAATTTAGAAATCAGCAACAACAATAGCAACAACAACAACAGCAACAGCAACAACAACAAAATCGAATATTTCGATCCATGAATACTAAAAATAAATAAATAAATGAAAATTAGGCGAAACAATAAATGTGAAACGTACATTCACACACACACACATGATATCATCAATTGTTTAATAGAAAGAATTCAAGTCTAATGGATTAAAATTCCGATGTTCTTTTTCTTTGGATTCAGACAATTGATGATGATGGTGACGACAACGACGATGATGATGATGATGATGATGGTGTTGATTAATAGTCGTAGTACAGTGGTATATCTATTCATTTTCTTACAAATCAATATAATTTTCATTTATTTTGTATAAGTTGAAAAATTCTTGTTTTTCCTCAATTAAAACTAATTTATTTTGATGTTGTCTGTGTAGAAACAAATAATAATAATCATAAACCAATGGGATCTATTTGACCACGTAGTGCTTATATATATACACATATTACAAATGAATAAGTGAATACTACTGAATTCAACATAATAGTAGTATCCTATCACTTTTATAATCTTGATAAATAGGTGACTTTTATTTTTAAAATTAAAATCATAATAATAATAAGTGATATTTATTATACATCGCAACACGAAGAATTCCAAATTTATTTATGTTCTATCATGTATATAATATTTTATTCTACCATATATAGACATACATATTTGATTATTCAATGTTTGTATAGATTGTTTCACAAAAAAAGTTTTTTCTCTCCTCCCCCTCCCCTCCCCTTCTCTCTGTTTCTTTCTTTGTATTTGTTGCTAATGTGAATTGAGTAATTTCTTTTTTCCTCTTTTAAAACATTATTCATTGAAATTATTGAGGGGGGGGGTTTCATTTCTTCATCAATCTTATTCATGATCACTGTTACTATCATAGTTATTATTATTATTATTATTATTATCCATATACTCAGCGGAAAGAGTCAATATTATACAAACTTTATATTGTGATGCAAATATGTTATATAAAAATTAAAAAAAAATTTGTTTGTGTTATTGAACAAACGGTAATAAAACACTATTTCACTAATTATTGAGTTTTATTTTTGATATGTTTGTCACATCTTTAAAATGAATAGAAATAGAGTTAAAGTTATTGGGTTTGAGTCTCAATTTGAACATAAGATCTAGGATGTAGATACAGAGTTAAAATGGTTTGAATTTTTTTTTCTGGTAAGTGTTTTTTTAGCGAGTTAGTTTTTTACGGGATGGGAACGCTAACCCCATGCCCAACCCTCCTCCTTTACCCGGGCTTGGGACCGGCAGTAACTCCAGAAGAGCTACAGGTGGAGTTTCATCCAGATGAAGAATCTTAAATAATCAGTATAGGGTTATGAAGATTATTAAGTTATTGGTTGAGATCATGAATCGATTGATATTAGACCACAATTGAACACCTGCAAGCATTGGGTGACCGTTTCATCTTGTTCTACGGCTCTTCAGCAGTGCGCATCCATGATCCCGCTTGCGGGATTCAAACCCAGGGCTTACAGTCTCGCGCGTGAACGCCCAACCTACTAGACCACTGAACCGGCATCCAACAGTGTTAATGTCTAACCTCAAACAATCCCATAATAGGACGAAACGGCCATCCAGTGCTTCCAGGTTTTCGATGGTGTTGTACCATCAATCGGTTCATGATCTTGATCAATAATCTGAAATAAATTGATACCTGAAGTCCGGACTTCATTTCTAGCTACTGTTCAACTTTATTAGAAACTTGTGATTATATATCAATAATGAGGTAATCTGTTCAGGATGAATATTTCCAATTCTCAATTTCAGTAACGGAAAACAGGAATTCTTACAAATCAATAGAGTAATAGGTTCGAATCTCGTGAGGCGAGATCGTGGAGGCACACTGTTTTATAAAAAACTCAAAACCATTAGGTTATTTAATTGCAGCCTACTATAACGGATCATTGATTGAATACTGGAGGTATTGTTCTTTTCAGTATTGTAAATGTATCTATCTGAAAGAAACATAAGTTGAAACAAAGTTTTTAAATAATTTTCTTCAGTCATTCAATATATAATCTAGAATATATCCATTTATAACATTTCCGTTGTCAAATAATTCTGGGTAGTTACATTGATAATAGGTTGAACACTTCAAAATTAATTCCTTCAGTTATTAATGGGATAATGGATAGATCTTCTTGTAACTATTTATTCTTCCATCTTTGCACCTTGAACAAAACAAGTTTTGACAGCAAAAACAAGACATATACAGACAAATACATACAAATACTAGTGAATTAGTGGGAAGAATGATCTTAGTTGAGGTACTGCTGAAAACTAGTGAGCACTGAACAGTTATTCACTATAGTTTTGAATCCAAAATTGGTACTACAACTAAGAACAATATAACAAAGGTAACTTAAAGCATTCTATACAAATCCCTTCAAATAAATTAACCTACGCATCTATATGAGTATAGTGATAAAACTAATCATAATGATAACACATGAAGGTAATTTTCATCGCATCACTGGTTACAAATTGAATCAAAAGCAAAACTATTAGGCTCTATGGTGTGAATGACACCTTCAAATTAATAAATCGGAATCTACTATTTCATTTTTCCTCCAATCCAGTCATATGATGATATAATATGAACTGTTTTTCAGTATCATTGAGGGTTTACTGTTTTAGTTTAAACTCATTTGATTACATAGATATAAATTAAGGAACGATCTGAACACACAAAAACAAAACTCGTCTATGTATCTAATCAACGAGATAATTTATCATTACTAACTTATGCCTGTTACCCTTCGTGGAGAAGTATAGACCAACCACTAGAACTCTCCATCCAACCTTGTCTTAGGTAAGCCTTTCCAGTTGTTATTCATCCTTTTCATATCTGCTTTCAATTCCCAACATAGTGAATATATCATTACAGACATTTAAATTGAATAAAGTTCCTTATTTCAAGAATGAATATTCTACAGAAGTTTTCTAAGGTATTACTGATAATATTTTATATTATCAATGTTTAATATAACCATTCAATAAATGAAAGGCATTTTATATGTATGAAAGTCACTTTGAAACAAAATCATGGCAATTCATCAGAAATTCTGTTCATTCCTAGAAGTCTACAGACAATTACTTTTTTCTTTTTTGAACTATTCCCTCATCTATCAAATATATGAAGCTGTGACCAGTGCAGTGAGACAGTTATTCATCTCAGACAATGGATGTAGGGTTGCGCAATATCATGGATCAATTAAAGTTAGGCATAAACACTATTAAGCACCAGCTCAGTGATCTAGAGGTTAAACGTTCACTCATAAGACTAAGGGGTATGGGTTCGATTGGTGTGTGTGGGATTGTGGATATGTACTGCTCAGAAGTCCCATACCGGAACGAAACGGCTATCCAATGCTTCCAGGTTTTCAATGATGGTCTAGCTTAGATTATCTCGTGAACTCAACTTTGAGAATATATTCACTATGTTTAATAATTTTTAAAAGTTAAAGATATGAATAGATTGTTAATATTTAACTATGAATGCTTTCGAATTATAATTCAACAATTATGAAATCACGAAGCTAGTTATGCTCAGATTAAATATGAAGTACTTATTAAGAAAAGTTGATGAGTTCTCATGAATTCTTTAGTGATACTTTGACTAGAGTTTGACCAATCTCAGTTCCGATATGTGTATCTTGACCAGATTCACCTGATATAGCCATTATTTCACATTTGTATATAGGATAGGTGGAATATGGCTGGGAGTTGAATTCAAGATATGCGTTTCATCCTATTCAGGACAAGTCAAGTGGATATATTGGGACTCGAATACAATACCGTTCAGCTTAGACACTTAACTCTTTATCCACCTAGCTACTAAATACAGATAACCACAATCTGTCTTTCCTAAATAGTTTATAATAAGATGATCATGTCGAGAGAGTCTTCACATGACACACATATGTAAAAAAAAAGACTGATCCAAATTCAGTCCTGATTATCAATAACGGAATAATCCAAGCCTACATTAATAATTGAATAAACATCATACTCAGAAACTTTAACGGATATTTAAACTCATAATACAATGGGAAACATGTTTTTGTTTATAATGAGAAATACTATATTCAAATCTAGAAGTGAACATTAACTCTATCAAGTGTTCTGAATTCCATGGCTAATCATAATTTACCTAGTCTAGATTAATTGATCCGTTTTGTAACAAGATTTTCTAGTCTCACATTTGTAACCAAGTCAAATATGGAAAAAAAAACTCAGGTTGACAACACAAATTCTTTTGACTAAATGATTGGCTGATCAAGTGAAGTTTATTTTTCACCATTCACTATTATTATTATATGAATATAAGACAATATAATAAATTGTTTCGTATTTATTAAATGATATTAATTATACTGTTAGATATTACTTTCATTTTAATCATAAATACTATAACAACTGATTCATTATATTAATTAAACTATAGGAATATATATGTATATTTGGTTGGTAACCTTATGTCTATTATTAAACGCCAAATCATAAGAAAATTCATTAATAAACCATATAATATATTTAATGGCTCACAATTGATTGACCACTGGGTGGTGATCAATGTCATGCGTGTCTAGTCCTTATTAGTGCGGATCGAATGCTATCGATCATGTTGCAATGTGGCCACCAGTCTAGGTGACTCGACACTGCGGGCACTATATATTGAGATTTAGATGGTGGTTGGAGGTAGTCAACAGGAAACCCTGGACCAGGGTTTCGTGCTACTTGACACTCGTCAGCAAGGTGTACCTGTAATCTTGAGGGAACTGGTGCTCCCTGGCGGATTCGATCTCGTGTCACCCAGCTATTTAGTGGCTATATGTGATACTCAAATAGAAATATGAACAATCTGACTTGTATAAAACCTTATGTAGTACAATATTTCAAGAGTTGATTAAAATGATATGATCAATAGTGTCAAAAATGCATTAAGTCAATGAGATTAACCATGAAAATTTTAAGTAGAAAATAATATTGATTTAATAATTGAATTGATGAATCGATGTAAGTTAGATCAACATGGAAAACCTGAAAACATTGGATGGTCGTTTCGTCCTAGTATGAGACTGTACATCAGTGAGCATCCAAGCCGTGACTAATAGAGTTCAACTGTATCTGTTATGAGGCAATGATTTACTGAAGCCAATGGTGGAAGGTGGTGCAATTTTGTGGATTGGTTGAAGTTAAACATTAACACTATTGGATAACGGTTTAGTGGTTTAGAGGTTAAGTATTCGCGCGCAAGACCGAAGGTCCTGGGTTCGAATCCCATGAGTAGGATCATGGATCCAATGTTTCCAGGTCTTCCATGGTGACCTAACTTCAATTGACTCATGAATTCAACTATTAAATTACTACAATCTTCTCAAAACCCCCTTTCTGATAATAATAATAATAATAATAATAATACTGATTTGTCAACCATATCTTATCATTCTTATATGTATATGTTACTGAAAAGATGAATTTGAATCAGAAAATCAGTAGAAACTAAATATTATGGGACTAGAATGTCTTGTTTATACATCTCTTAGTTCCTTTTAAAAAAAGTCACGCATTTATTTAACTGTGACAGAAATGAGATCTTCGGAAACATGACAATCATATATTCGAATGTTGTATATCAATTATTAACTAAAATATGTAAATACTACTAATAAATATTATCATAACCAATAACTATTCCAATAGTTGAGATCATGAGTCAGTTGAAGTCAAACCACCATGGAAAACCTGGAAGCGTTAAATGGCCGTTCCATAATTAACTGATGCTTCCTTTAGAAAGTATTAAGTCAAACAACATCCTAAATCTTTCAAATTACCATTTTATATTGTAACTTAATCGATAAAATTCGATCAGAACTAAAAGACTAAATAAATAATGATTATCATCAGTAATCAATATTTAATCAGCTTTATATAGGGTTTTTTTTAAATCTTAACTAACACTTTCTGATTAACACTTAAATATATGCTTCATCAAGATATATTGA